TGCTCGTATCAGAATTATAAAATTAAAGCGTGGAGGAATTGATATGTATTCAAGCGTGCAAGACAGCAACTGTTTGTTGACTCATGAGCCTACGGTATGTCAGGGGTGAATTCTTTAAAGTAATAGAATATCACAGGTTATTACCTTTTATTAAAATTTAGTAGGGGTATAATCTATTTAACAATAATTAAAAGGAGATGTGTTATTTTTGGAGTTAAAAGTAGTAATTTTCCGAAGGCTAACAGGGAAATTAGGAGTAGTCAAGTTCGTTTAGTCGATGAAAATGGTGAAATGCTTGGGATTTTTAGCATTAAAGATGCTTTAGAACGTGCAGAAAAAGCTAATTTAGATTTAGTAGAAATTTCTCCAAATGCTGAGCCACCTGTATGTAAAATCTTAGATTTTGGTAAATATAAATATGAAAATAAAAAACGTATTCATGATGCTAAGAAAAAACAAAAAGCAGTTGTGCTTAAGGAAATGAAATTTAAGCCAAATATCAGTCAAGGTGATTTTGAAATAAAACTTCGGAAAATAAAGGATTTTTTAAAAGAAGGAGATAAAGTAAAAATTTCTTTATGGTTTAAAGGCAGAGAAATTATCCATACCGATATTGGCATGAAACTATTTGCCCGCATAACCCTAGATCTTGAGGGTATTGCTAAAATAGATTCAGCACCTAAAATGGAAGGCAAGCAGATAACGATGTTAGTAAGCCCTGACACCTTAAAAATTCACTAAATAAGAATTGATACTTATGCCAATAAAAATCTTAATGCCTGCTTTGTCTCCTACAATGCTAGAAGGGAATATTGCCAAGTGGTTAAAACAGGAAGGAGATAAAATTGTTCCTGGAGATATTATCGCAGAGATAGAGACTGACAAAGCGACTATGGAAATAGAAGCCATAGAAGAAGGAGTTTTAAGTAAAATTATTATTCCGCAGGGTACAGAAAATGTACCAGTAAATTCTCTGATAGCTATTCTACTTGAGGAAGGAGAAGATCGCACATCAATAGATAATTTTCTTCAAAACAATTCTACCCCTGCAGCAATGCCAAATGCAGACTCTAAACTACTAGAACAAGATAAAGTAATACCGATAGGTTCCTTGCCTCCGTTGCCTATTAATAATAACTCGAGAATATTTGCTTCGCCCTTAGCTAAAAGACTCGCAGTTCTGGAAAACATAGATCTTACCCAACTACAAGGTAGCGGCCCACAAGGCAGAATAGTAAAACAAGATGTAATTTCTTATTCCTC